GATTCCGGCCCGTAGTTTTTTGTTGAATAAGTTATGACAGTCAAATGCTTTTAGTATTCATTCCATTTAATTGACTACTAATGGATTTCCATATATTAATCAACATATTTATGACATATAATTAAGTACACATATTATTCATCAACAATTTAATTTTTAATCTTATTATTATCGTCTATACAGACGTGCTTAATTATTAAATCTTAATTAATACACACATTGGTAACGTTTCATACCATATAATATGCTATTATTTATTTTTAACAAAAGCTATGAAAATTCTAAACCATAAATAATGGTATGCTTTGCTATTTATAATCTAAAGCAGGGTTTCCCTAACTTTTTCTCAAACGGAACAGTTTGTAAATCTAGAAATTTTCACGAAACACCTTGTTTATTTTATAGTATAGGTAAGAAAAACACATAATCAATAAAATTTTAAACATATGAGAAAAACATTCATTTAGTAATAATTGTAATCCTAGATTTTACATAAAACCTCTTAACTTTCGCGGAACATAATTTGGGAAACCCTGATCTAAGGTATAATGAAAAATAAATACAATTCCAAAAATGAAAATTGTTGAAATTTCTTCATAATTTATATAAAATAAGTGAAATTATTATTATTTGCAGCAGTTAAATTTTTTTATTTTATTAAAATGAAAATATTAAATTTTGTTTTTGACTCTTTTAATAAAGATTTTATTTATTATATATTTACAAACTGTGTTGTACTGTGATTTTACTTTATTCTTTTCTGATATTACAATAAAAAAATCATTTGAATATAGTGTACATATGTACAAAGGATTAATAATAATTTTAAAGAAAGTACTAAATTGTGAATTAAATGAGAAATTTATAAATTATTATCTTAAATGACCAGAATTAGATAAATATTTTAACCAAAATAAATTGTATGAAATTATAATCTTTGAATTGGGTAATTAGTTTACATTTTCAATTAATTATTTTTTTGTAAAACTTTCAAAAATAAGATTACAAATTATGTTATCTTATACTTAAATTAAAAATCTGACATTATAAATCTTAATATATTAAAATCTTTAGAAAGAAATCAAACAAGCAAATGATTAAAAAAATGTTATAGAAGAAAATCTTTGATAATGATTATACGTAACAAAATTCTTAAGAATCTTTCTAGTTCGTAATTAATATTAATTAAAATATGAGGTACATTATTTTAATCACCTTAATGAAATGCATGGGCTTGCATATTACGTAAAGCGGTATGCAGTTTCCCGCTTCTTCCTTTTCCCAGCATCTTTGTACATCCCATTTTTTTTGCCACAAGTAATTTAATATTCTACTCGCTCCCGTCTTTCCGTCCGCGTGACTGCAACGATGCTCGTGATTTATTACATAAAATCCCGTGATAGTATCAGCGTCAGCATCAGGAATCCGGGCAGCATTCGACAATATTATCCCCCTCTAATTAATTATTATCATACAGTAATTGGAAACAATGTTGGTGATATAGTTGTTTATCATATGCAATTTAATTTAATTAGGTTTTCATTATCCGGACAATAGCTACAGCAGTAATACAAATATCGTGTTTGTTTGTAGTATGAATAGATATGTATGGACCAAATTCAGTTTAATGAAACAAATTTTCAGGTCCATTCTCTCGCATAATAAACCTTTCCCCCTTCGAAATGAGATTGAAAATGCGTTCGTACATTTTATATATATATCAGCCTTAAATTTTCTCAGTTTTATATTCGAATTGCCAGCTCGTAGCTCGTAAAAGTCTCCTTTTGTCGTAACGTTTTGTATAAATATTGAAAAGGTATTTCTTGCGAGGAAATAAGAAACGCGGAGGAGCAAATATATATATAATAAAAAAAATGTAAAAAAAAATAAACTGGGGAAATAGTTTCGTCGAGTGGTGCTCTGATTCGAAGTGGAACGTTCCTATTCCCATTCGGTATTTTCCTCTTCGATTGCGACAGCAATCATTACCTAAAACCCATCCCCCCTTCGACTCGCAATCAATTTTAATGGAATATTGTTTCTGGGCAAACCGTCACGAAATTAATTTGTAATGTACACAGCGCATTTTTCATTCCGCTCAATTTGAATATCTATTTTCGGGTGGATGCGCCGGGCAATCAATTCCCTTAGCCGTCTCCGATTTCATATTCTCCCTCTCCGCAATACTCATACACACATATATATATATATACAATTTTTTTGTGTGTCGTACGGCTCTTATCGTCCGACACGCACGGAATACAATCTTCCACGGGATTTGCATAAAGTCCAAATAAATTCGTCCCAGGCCGAAAAACAGCGCTGAAATGTGCAAAACCAATTACCTTCCATCACCGTATCGCTCCGCCGAAAAGTTATGCATTTTCATTTCGCACCAGATGATGCAAAACAACCAAATACCCGTTGTCATTACATCATAGTTATATTTATGTACAATATATATTTTTTTTACTTTCTACGCTTTTATATTCTCTGCTTCGGAGGTTATTATAAATAACTCCCGACTCTTTTTGCTCCGCTCCGTCGACCCCAACGAACTTTGCTGAAAATAAGATACGAAGTGTACAAAAAAAATAAAGTCAGAACCCTAAACCGCACGATAAGCGCAAAAGTGGACAGCGATGTTTTCCTATTCTGATTTTTTTTTTAAAGCAATTATCGAATTATATTATTCGTTTACATTATCTATTACATACACTAGAGTATAATTATTGCAATTTCCTGCCGATTTTAAAAATTTATCTAATTTCTAGTGGCATAAATAAATTTAAAAAAAAACTGTTACACGAAGGGTCTATCAAAAGTTAGCTAAGTTATATTAAAAAAAAACAATATAAAAACAGTTTTATTATAATATTTTTAATTTTCATCCCTTTTTAATTTCTATTTATTTCAATACATTTTATAGTCAGTAGAGCCACCTTTCGAAACATTCCTCAAAATCAGCTTTTTGTAGCTTTTCAACTTTTAATTAATGATCTCTTCATTGCAACTAAAGACTCTTTACTTCATTTTTTTTTAAATTTAGGAAACAGCCAGAAATCACAAGGCGCTATTCGGTAGAATAAGGTGCTGGTCGAATTTCATTCATGCCAGGAATCGTGATGGAAAAAGTAGCAATGAAGTTCTCATTTTTTTCTGCTTTCCCAACAATTTTTTGAAAATTTGTAGTAATCAAGTTTATGTGTACTACTTAGCAGTTACCCTCTGATCAGTTTCGAGCGAGATAGCAGCTACAACTTTTACCCTGGTAAATCAAATTGACATCATCACTTTTGTTGCTGATTTTTTATGTCTGCTTTAACTTGAGGAATTTGCGCCTTCTGCCTTCCTTACCAGTGACCGCTGCTTGGTTTCCAGAAGATTCATCATGTGTTAAGATTTTACTAAAAGTGCTAGAATCCCCATATTCAAAATTTTCCAAGAAATATACGGCAAAACGAACATGTCCTTGATTTGGTCGTAATTCTAAATCGTTGAATCATTCACTCGCATATAAATTTTGGCATTCTCGGAAAATTTGCATAGGATTGAGTTGACGTCGAAATCCATAGAGAATGGCAAAACAATTTTGTGCCGTGTTGGTGGTGTAATTTCTACTAAAATTACATCACTAATCTTGCATTTTCTCCTATCCATTCTTACCTATCTTCTTGAAATTTTACATGAATTTAACAAATTGAGAAATAACTTTTGTTTTTTCAGAAACAAATGAATTAATGCTAATTTAGCAAACTTTTCCTAGACCCCTCGTACTTATAGCTTGCTAATTCAGAAATCAAAATCGATGATATGTTTATAATAATAAAAAATATGTAAATCCAATATATAAGAAACATTCTAATATAAATAATTAATAATCTGGCCTAAGGAATAATTATAAATATTACTATAAATAACAATATTTTATTGTTTTTATTAATTCTGAACAATATTTAAAAAGAAAATTAATTTAGTGAGTGTCAAACCAGGATTTTTTTTAACATTTTAATAGATCTTTAGTTACTATTTCTTTTACTTCTTTTCATTTTTTTTATAATTTCCTGCGATTCTCAATAAAGTAATTATAAATTTCCCGGAAACTTTTACCATAAATTATTACGTACAACATATTTAGTCATTCCCATGTCCCAATCGATACTTTCCCACGTCGATCTTAATACATTTATCTGCATTTGGTGCCGGAGGCTTCAACCCTTCTCGGGGTTCTCGGGACTGGGAAAGTTCGTGTGCCATGAGTAATTTACGGCCCGAAAAACCCGACTAACAATTCATTAATGCGTACGACATTCGTTTCGGAAAGAAAAGAGCAATTTCTTCGTTGAGGCACAGAATTTCCATTGTTTGATACCCATTTTGAGGCCACCCTTTATTTGTCTCTCTTTTATTATCCTCGTTAATCATAATTTTTATTTCACTCAATGGTGTGCTTTATGGCAATGTTTTATTACTCCTACTTGATTTATTTCAACATCACGTTTTCATTTTAAACAAACACAAGAAAATTAATATTATTATTTTTCTTTTACTAAATAAAATAAATTTATTTTAAGTTGTAAATATGTAATCATTAAATAATTCAAGTGTGAAATTTATTTTGTTTTGTGAAACTTCTTAATTTTATCTAAAAAATATAGCACAGTATACTTTTTTGGAATGAGTAAAAAAAGTATCTATAAAGGTTTATAATTAGTAAAGTTAGATTAAAATAGTGTTTAAGAAACTGGAAGCCAGTGGAAGTGTAGAAACTTTGTAACGCACTGAAATACAAGCTCCCTTTGTGAGCACAGGAAGGTGCATTTGGGAGGAAGAAAAATCCAAGAACAAAATGGTGTAAAGGAAGATAGTTTAGCTGTGGAATGGAGTGGAATTGAACTGAGGTAGAGAATGCGAAGCGCATGGAAGTATTTCTTGTTTTGTAGGAGTTATTAGTTTTCGGCGATGTTGCGCGAGAAAAGGTGCGAAATAATAAATCATACCTTGCAAGAAGGGCAGAAGTTTGCACATAACTTCGCCGAAGACAAAGTCTCGCAGGAGGGCACCGATGAGCGTGAAGGGCATGCAGAGGACGCCCAGTAGTAAATCAGATATGGCCAAGTTCAGCAAGAATAAGTTGGTTATCGTTCGCATCCTTTGATTCTGTACCTGCAAAACACGATAATGCGAAACCTTTTATGTAGATTGGATAGAAAAGGGTCCCCTCACCCCGTCCATCCGTCGAGGAGGACGATGGCCTGAGGGTGTCTGCGGCGACGGCGAAGACGCACCTCAGCCGTATCCCCTCGAAATTCCTCCGGGGTGAGGAATGATCCCCAATAATAGTAATCAATCAATAACAACATTTCGACCGATTCTTAAATCTCGATCTCTTTCATCCCAGTTGCTTAGCATGCAAAAAGCGTTAAACTAACCTATAATCTGAAACCCTCCATAAGAGAGCCAGAGAATTGAAGGAAATGGAAAAGAAGATAAAAACAGTAAAAATAGCAAGAGTGGCGGTGGTGAAATCATGCGCTATTTCGAAAACTTCTTTGATCTACAAAGATTATACGCAATTGAGCAAAATAAAGCGGAGGTGGCGGGTTTTGTGAATGAATGAGTGGACGGATTGAAGATAACATTCGGAGGGGCGAAATACATTTGGCAAATATTTGTATTCCAATTTATTTGCGCCCTAATCACGAAATATATGGCGCGACTTTTCGCGTGATCCCTTTTTGGCGCGCTGCAAACATTGTCCCACACGGAATGGGTAATTAAATACGAATCAGATTTATCGGGAATCCTTTTGCATTATTCACCAACACCTGGACGAGCCTCTCGCATTATATTTTTTTTGGTTCACTTCATTTCCACAAACTCAGCCTAATAAATCAAACGTGACCTTCGATTTAACAGTACACACCTTATATAACATTCACTAAATATTATACAAAACTACATAAAAAATATTGTTTTTAATAATTAAGGATTAAATTATGTAAGATGATTTGAAAAACGAAAGTTTACAAGTTAATATTTCCAGAAAAACACCTCAGAATCAATGCTTCCATTGATGTCTCGATAATGTATTTGTCAATATAATAAGAATTACATAATTATTTAAAAAAAAATCGTTAATAATTCCAAATATTTTATAAAATCCATATAGAAAAAAAAATAGAAACAAGGCATCATCTTTATGTAAGTAATTTTTAATTGTTTTTAATTTCGTTCTTAAATTGATATATTTTTTACAAAAATGAGCAAATATAAAATTAAATTTAACTATAATTGACATAAATATGAAATAAAAAATATTGATTTGTATTGAAAAGATGTTGTACTTCAATATTGAATTGTTTCTATTTTTTTCAAAATGCAATTGAATTACATAAATTTCTATGCTAGACAGTTTTTATTTTCAAACGTATTTGATAAATTTTAATTTAAAGTAAGTAAAATATGTTGGTAAATACAATTTAATTATGTTATAACAAATTATAATTGATTTATTGTACAAAATAAAGTATTTTTAGAAATAATAGAAAACCTCAATAGTGTTTACTGATTTTCCAATAGGGTGTCGTTTAATGTTTATGTTTCTTGAGTTTCCTTTATCGATTCGGGTCGGCTAAGATAAATAGTAAATAATGTACTCCGCAATAAAGAAAATAAGAGAAAAAAAAGCATAAAATAAAGATTTACTGAACATCAACATACCATTATCTACGAAAAACAAGCTATATAAAATAACGTCCTGGTGGTTGTTTTCTCAAAGATTTCCTCGTTACTTTTTATATTTAAAATACACATTTGCGTATCGATTTTCCATTTTTTTTTTCAAAAGAATTATTATGATTGTAATAAAATAAAACTAAAGAGGAAATTAATTTAATATACATATCATACATACCAGAGTGACGATCACTAATGTGTTCCCAACGACAGCGAGCAGGAATATCACGGTGTACAATGGTATCTGCACTTTCCCCATTTCGTACCATTGCGAAACACTAGCTGCTCCGAGCAGGCCGTCACCGTCAGAAGTAGCATTTAATGTCCCATTCGACACCTCCAAGAAACTCAGATTCGCCTCCATGTCGAGATCACATTATCTCCACCCCAATGCTACGCGTCCAAGTGAGAGGAACAAAAAAAAAGTATGAGAGAGAACCCGACGAAAGAAAATGAGAAAAAAGTGAAGAAAGAGAAGAAAAAAAGGACGTGCGATCGCTTGAGATATCAGGGGGCGAATCGGGGGAGCGAAAAACTTAATTAACCACGAAAGTGAAATTTTTCAAATAACTCGGCGCGAACTTTCTAATTGGACATACACGGTTTATTATATCAAGAAAATAAAAATGTTGCCCCGTCGGTGGATGGCAGGAAATCGCGAACGTGTTTATTGTCACCTCGTAATTGGCTACATATTTACTTGGTAGCAATAATGCTTAATTGAAGCACGTCTGAATGAAATTAAAAGCCATTCAACACACGAGCTCCAAATAAACTTCAATTAAACGCGTAGACAAGTGCCGTACGAGACGTAATAAAAATTGAATTAGTCCATACTACAAATATTAATTGCTAATTTAACGCTCAACTTGAAATCATTGAAGCTATATTAAAGTTCTAACTAAATAAAAATTCAATATTAAATTACTCATTTTTTATTATAATAAAATTATGGCAATCAAATATTTATTTATTTTTTAATTACCTTTAATTATAATATTTATTTTCCTATTTTATTTCCTAATAAAATGTGAAATAATTCTCGATATTAACTAATATCAACTCACGTGAATTCACTTCAAATATGATATATTTATATATAAATCAAATAAATCTTTTGAATTGAAATTAATTGGTATTCATATATTCTATTTAATATTTCGGTAAAGTTTTGCAAAGAGTTGGCGTTTGAAATGTTTTGGGCGCGCAACAGTTTACTGTGACCGTTTGAAAGCGTCGCAAACGACTGAAATCGAAAGCTTTCGACGCGGGGCGTCGCGACGCCAGCGCGCTTCCAGCGGATCCCGTCGCCGGCGTCGTCGTTTCGGCCGCCTCTTCCTAAAACCAGCGGAGGATCACTCGACAACCGCGGGGCTTATTTGTGAATGCGGCGCGAACTGAAAAACAGGCCTCGTTTCGGATCGAGGTGTTTGGTAAGAGGAGAGAACAGAAAAACATAAAAATAAATAAGGGCTGAAAAGAGAAGAATAAGATGAAAAAAGAAACTAAATATTGTGGTGCGGGGGAAAAACCTGGGGATTGGGGAAGAGAGTGGCTCAAAACGCATATTCGCACACTCGAGAAACCGTTTGATGTTCTCACATGCCGTTATTATTATCATCTTCTTTCTATATTTTTTTTGTCACCATCTCTCTATCCACTCAACCGCTTCTTTCTGCTAGTCCTCCAAGGGCTGTTATTGAATTGTTCAATGTTTATGCCCAAATATTTTATTACATACGTGGCAAAAGCATTACGTTACGTGGTACATTCTATAACAAAATACAGCATAAGTCGGTTATTGCGATCACATTGATTATAATAACCGAAGAGTTTATTTTTATTCTTTTAGATCTATGCTGATTTAGAATCTATTGATAAAAAAAAACTATTGTCATAGTGATAGACACAATTATTATTTGACTGAAATTTGAGACAATATTTTTTAAATATTTTCTACTACTTTCAGAATCACTTGAACCATACTATACAATATTTATGAAATAAATTTTATTAAAATAGATATGATTTCTTTTAAGTCTAGGTTTTATATATAAAGTTTCTATAAAGTATTAAGTAATAACAAATATAAATGTATTATTTGACAGATATTTGAATCAAATTTGAGTTATTTATCCAAATTAGGCATAAATAAAGAACTGACTATAGTTTTTTCCCGACTTTTTTTAAATTTATAGAAATCTAGAGTATTTGAAGAAATCACAAAAAATTAACAATAGTTAATTTACAATTTGTATGGAATTACAACACTGTCAGATACATATCACAAGAAATATTTTGAATTGAAATCACTGAAGTATTTCAGTATTAGATAATTCACAGAATTCCTCAACTATCTAAGCGCAATTAAGACTACCTTAGCACGCAGAGAATGTATCAATCTGAATGACAGCACAAATGTAAATCGTTACGTAATTCGGTCTAGGTGCGCATAAAAATTAATTAAAAGTGAGTGGATATCACTGAGCTCTGTGCAATTTTCACTTGACTTAGTGTGGTCTGTCGGCATGAAAATCGCGAAATTATTTAAATTTAACTAGAATTTTATCTCGCGGACGGTTGCGCAACGCCACCGCAGCAGCAGCAGCATCATCATCCGCACCGAACTGAACTTCTGCCGACGAGTATCGTAATTTTTTTGAAACTGTAAAGTTATGAAAATTATCGTGTAATTCGCCTCATATGGAAAGTTGCGAAGCGGAGCGAAAATGCTGATTGGCATAGGAAAAACAGAATGTGCGAAGAGTTTGCACTGGTTTAATAAATGTGAATAGTTTTATCACTTGAGTATATATTACAAAAAAACAATAGTAAATTAATTATGTATTAATTTATAGACCAAATATAAACATTTTTTTTCTGGTTTTCTTTACTGAAAATGTTCGTATTGTCTATAACAGAAGTGGACAAACTGTAGCTCGCGAGCCGCATGCTAACTAATAAATAAAATATTATATATAAAGTGTCAGACAAAAAATAAGAACACTCGTTGACATTCAATACCATAATAATTTTTTTCCTAGGGCAACTTTTATTTCAAATATTTTTATTGGAGAAGAGTATGGCATGGTTGCAACGCAGTAGCTGAATACATTTTGGAGATTTCCCCGGCGAATGTTAAAGCGAAGCTTGTGAAGGTGGACAATAAAATAAGTACAGTGGAATAAAATGTTTTTTTTTTAAGATTAGGATGAAATTTATGTATTATTGGTAATACTTAAACCAAAGGTATTTACATAAATTAAACGTAAAACAAGAATTAGTAATAAAACTACGAAATGAGTGCCAAAATATGCACCAAATAGCAAAAACTGTTGAAAGATCTTCTGCATTTGTTTATCAAATCTTATTACAACTTAGACGTGATTCCAAAAGAGGTAAGCCTCTCAAAAATACAAATGCAGACGACAGTCGCATAAAAATTGTGTTAAGTTAGAAATGAGACAGAGGTTCAAATTTGTGCTTGATCAGTAAGAAGACGAAAATAGGTTTTATAGAAGAACATCGAAAGTGTCGCATCGAGTTTGCACAAATTGTCTAGCCACTAATCTAACTTTTTACTACAATTTGTAATTTTCAAAAATTTATGTTTATTATTATTTCATTATTTATATAACACAAAATGAAGTTATATTTATATTATATTTTCTATTAGAATTTACATAACTTCAATCACTTTTAATAAAAATAGATATGCCGACTCCAAGTTTCATCCTCATTATTGCTCTGCGCACGATTCGCACATAACTTTCAAGTCGATAATTGTAATCCAAGAGTTTCTTCAAACAAAAAAAACTAATAATAGAATTACGTAATATCATAATTACAGAAAAATCCTTATTTTTTTCTTTAATAACTAATTTTTTTCTTAAATAATATTTATTTTCATTAAAATACTTTTATAAGGCCAGAAATAATTATTGCTGTATTGAGTTTTTATTTTGTAATTTATTGCTGAAATATTTATTATTATTATTAAATTTGAACTAAAAATTATTACGAATATTATATAAATAATAAAGCATAAATTTGGAGCGTATTTTACTTTTAAGGAAATTTACGTCTGTCGCAAACATGAATTATTTACTACTTTATGTTAAAGCAGTGCAATTTTCTTTATCCCGTAAACTTTATATTTTGGTCGTCGTATTTATTTAAAATTTAAAAATATCATTACTATTTCATTGCTTATAAATTTACATTAACTATTATCTCTCTTGAAAGAAAAATTCTATTTTATAGCAAGGAAAGTTTTACATTATGAAAGTTTAGATAGTTTCAACGATTTGCTTCGTCTCTGCATATAGCATATATGAACAACGAGTCCGATTTAATGGTAATTTACTTTACATGCAGAGTTTTTTATGTTGTTGTTGTAATTTAAGTTGTTTGTACAGCAGCACGTGTCCATTATATTTTATTTTAACGCAATTACTGTGTCATGAATAGCGACTACATAAACACATTATCCAGTAGGCTAATGTAGCTAGTTATTTGGTTTAAAAAAAATATCAAATGAAAGGGAATTGTTTATTATTATTTGTTTGTATAAATCTCATTGTTGATTTACTCAATAAATCATTTCTATTACATAATGATTACTGATATAGATATTTTTATATATTATTTATATAAAAAAGAAAAATAGATTATTTGTTTGTATAAATCTCATTGTTGATTTACTCAATAAATCATTTCTATTTCATAATGATTACTGATATAGATATTTTTATATATTATTTATATAAAAAAAGAAAAATAGATTAACTTAGAAAGTTTAAAATAATATGAGAGGAGAAAATGAGAACCTTTTAGTTTCAAACATAGAAAATTTTTATTAATACTCAACTTACATACAAAGTAAAATCACATTTTAAGTAAGTACTACGGATGGGTCATAATGACCCACTTAATATTTTTTTAAATTCACATTCTATTGTTATGCAGAAGCAAAACAGTCGCGGTAGTTATTTTATTTTAGAGTTTATTTCGGGTCAAAGTGACCCCTTTATACCCAATACGTTCTAGAAATATCATCATTATTTGGATTTTAAGGTAGAATAATTTTGGTTTACCATGTACCAAAACGAGGAAAATCAGTAATGTATGTATACAAAAACACCTGATATCATACATTTCTCTAATGAGACTAAAGCAGATGAGGATGTACTCGATGGAAAATGTGGCAATGGCTTTGTTTCATTATCTATTAAGTATCGCTGGTGTCAACAGTAAAGTTATATATGAATCCTCGGCATTGGGAAAGAAGAATTCTAGGTATCTTTCATAAGCAAGTAGTACGTGCGTTGTGTGAACCATATATATTTGATCAAATGTGCAACCAAAAGATTTCCCAAAATTTTAAAATTGCAAATATCATGCAGGTTAAAATTCCTATTAAAACACAACCTAATGAACGGATTCCTACATACAAAAGAAAGAGGTGTTGTTTGTCCAAGACCGACAAGAAAACAGCAACGTTTTATGACAAAAGACCATTTTGTTCTACTTCGAGCAATAGAAATGATATACATTTAAGTGATGATAAATACATTCATTAAATAATAAGTATTAATACGTTTTTGTTGAAAAGAATAATAATTTCTTCTATTTTATTTATATATTTAAAAAAAGGTCATTTTGACCCATAGATAGTACTTGTGTATATATAAGTCTAGAGTTAGTTGTTTCTCCTTTTTTTTCTTTCATTTAAAATTTTCTTAATCTAAGTTATTTCGCTTAACACTTCTTTCTAAATCCGGAGTATTTTTGTTAACCAGATTTTCTAATTCTTCCACCGAAAAGCTATGAATGTAGAAGATCATTCAATAATTTTAACATCCTTTTCATCGACATTTTTGAAACCTATTGATTGAAGTAATTGATGTTGTTATAATACATGTAATATTATATCAATTTAATGGATGTGAACCGGTGTCGTATTCCTCGAGCAAATCCTTAGGTAATATCATCAAAATTATGATG